TAAAGTAAATGATTCTGTCATATAAAATGTAATTCTTAACTACTTCTCAATCTTATTTTCTAACGTTATCTGTATTTTGATTTGGTTACGTGATTCTAGTTTTTTTTTAACTAGGAAGGAAGTGGAATATTGCATTTGTACATTGAAACTGCTACAATGATCTGCAGTGTTCTGCCTTCCTATTGAGCTTTGGCCTGTTTCAACAGGAAAGAACTAACACAACTGTCCCATTTCTGAAACTGTAAGGCAGCCTGATGTACCAAGCACACATCCGCAGTGTTACAGGGTGGAAGGGAGCCATTCAGCCCTTTGAATTACCCCTAGATTTCACTTTAAATCGAGGCATCTTGCTTGACGGGGAGCAAAAATCAGGAAGTCTCTGTGTGGTTTTTATCTGTAAAATTGATGGAGAATTGTGGGCTGATTTTGTCATACAAACATCTGACAGGCAAGACTCCACAGCAGGGGTACATGAGCTGAGAATCTGTTCCCACAGAGGAACAGAAGTAGGCTTCAAATCTGAACCTCCATTTGACTGGGTTACTACTGATCTGTGTCTTAACTGAATTCATTGGCTTTGGTTATGTAACCCTTAAAAAAGTCTTGATTAGCAAAAAAAATCTCAACTTTGGTTCGAAATGTTCAAGTGACTCAGCGTCATCAGCATTTTGGGGAAGATTATACATATCCCTCCATCCTCTGTGTGAAGACGTGGCTTCTGAAATCGTCTTTTGATGAACCTCCCTCTAAGTTTTAAGGTGGTGCCCTCTTCTCTGCATTTTCTGACCAGAGGAAATATTTTCCTGTCCCTGCCCTTTAATCATGTTAATTAAAAATAACACTTAATCTTCTATTTATATATATTTATAAGGTGGCTTTATAAAACCAAACATAAGCCAGTCTCATCTTTACTGCTGTAAAAGAAAATACTGTGAATGTTGTAGTTCTGAAACAAACAGAGTGTCCTGGAGAAACTCCAGTCTGAAGGGTAATACCAAACTCAAAACCTTAACACAAATTTTCTGTCTCCATGTACATTGCCAGACCTGCTGAGCTTCTCCAGCATTTTTCATGTTTGTCTCATCTTCACTGCTGACCTATTACAAACAACCAGATTTATACTCTCAATTTGGAACTTTTGGTGAAGGAGTCTTGTATAAATAAGGAATTGGATTCTAGATCAGAGAGTCTGTACAGAGTGAGTTTAAAGGCAAGTGGAATCCAGGTTTCACAGAAAGCATAGAAGAGTAGCAGCTCTGATGAAGAGTCATCTAGATGTGAAACATTAGCTTTCTTTCTCTTCATGGATGCTGCCTGACCTGCTGATCTCCAGCATTTTTGTTTTCAGGGCGTAGCAGAGTGTCACTTTGATGGTCAGTATATGCGTATACATAAAATGTGACAAACTAAATTGAGTTATTGTTGAACCAGCACCTAAAACTGAACAGCAAGGGCATGTGTGTGGCCTTCTAAAAGCAAAAGAACATTTCCCAGAAGCAACGTAAGGCACTTCATGACCTTATAGAGGTCTATAAAATCGTGAGGGGCATGGATTGGGTGAATAGCCAAAGTCTTTTTCCCAGGATAGGGGAGTCCGAAACTGGAGGGCATAGGCTTAAGGTGAGAAGGGAAAGTTTTAAAAGGGACCTAAGGGGCAACTTTTTCATGCAGAGGGTGGTGCATGTATGGAATGAGCTGTCAGAGGAAGTGGTGGAGGCTGGTACAATTACAACATTTAAAAGTCTTCTGGATGGGTACATGAATAGGAAGAGTTTAGATGGATATGGGCCAAATGCTGGCTAATGGAACTAGATTAATTTAGGATCTCTGGTCAGCATGGACATGTTGGACCAAAGGGTCTGTTTCTGTGCTGTACATCTCTAGGACCCTATGTAAAACTGTTGCTCTAAAAGTGAAAATGTTGCTGTAAATTTATGCATACTAAGATACAGCACACAGCAACATGATCAGTGGCAGATTAATTGTGTTATTATTTGTGCACAAGAGAGCTAAGGATGAGAAAATTCATCAACTAATGTTAATTCATCCATCAATAAAGATTTTTAACATTTTCAATGCAGCATCTTTTCCTTAAATAATTCCAAATGTTTTCCTTTCCCAGCTGAAAATTTACACAGTTCTGAAGAAGGGTCACTCGACCTGAAACGTTAACTCTGATTTCTGTCCCCAGATGCTGCCAGACCTGCTGAGCTTTTCCAACAATTTCTATTTTTATTTTTGAAAATTTACACTACAATTTGATCATTCTCTGTGTGAACATCTTTTTGCTCTCAGTATAAAACTACCATTTACAAGTGTGAACCTATGTCCTTTTCACACACTGTTGGCAGTGCAGCAGTTTGTTTTGAAGTCACATTTATTTATATCTTCAACAGCCTCATATGGCTTCATTTATTGCCAATGGCACTGTTAATTGGCACAGTAATTGTACATGTGTATAAGGTCAAGCTCTTGAGTTTTGGCTTACTGAGCTCAACGGGATGTTACAGACTGGCAGGATTGACTTGGTTTGTGGTTATATGTTAAACCTGCAGCACTGTACTGCTAAATCATCCATGCAAGAAGCACCCCTAAAATAGATGGGCAAACCGTTGAGCCAGAGGAACATTCAGAAAGACCTCTGAGTGCCTCAGCTAGCAGTTCACGCACTGCAGGATGACCAACAGGAAGACAGATTATTATCTGAATGGTGATAGTTTGGGAAAGGTGGAGGTGCAAACAGTAGAGTACAGGTTTGAGGAAGCAATGATTAAACTCATCATGGTCACACCATGAATATTTTCAAAACAGAAATTGCTGGAGAAATTCAGCAAGTCAGGCAGTTTTAGTGGACAGAAAGCAGAGTTAACATTTCAAGACCAGTATGACTGTTCTCTAGATCCACGAATATCATGCTCACTTCTGGTTACCAGGAAACTTGGAGAGGGTCAAGCACTGGGATGCTGCAACTGGGTGTCCTTGTACACAATTCGCTGAAAGTAAGCATGAAGGTTCAGCAGGCACTGAAGAAGGCAAATGGTATGTTGGCCTTCATAGCGAGAAGATTTGAGTACAGCAGTAGGGATGTTTTGCTGCAATTCGACAGGGCCTTAGTGAGACCACCCTGGAGTATTGTGTGCAGTTTTGGTCTCCTTATCTGAGGAATGATGTAGGAAGAGAGACTGAATCGATTAGGACTGTATTCACTGATGTTTAGAAGAACGTAGGTTGGGGGGGAGGTCTTATAGAACCCTATAAAATTCTAATAAGACTAGACAGAATAAATGCAGAAAGGATGTTTCCTGATGACTGGGGAATTCAGAACTAGGGGTCACAGTCTAAAGATACAAGATAGGTCACCAAGGACTGAGATGAGGAAAAATTTCTTCACCCAGACAGTGGTGAGCCTGTGGAATTTTCTGCCACAGAAAGCAGTTGAGGCAAAATATTGAATGTTTTCAAGAAGGAGTTAGATATAGTTCTTAGGGCTAAAGGGATCAGAGGGTATGAGGAGAAAGTAGCAACAGGGTACTGAGTTGGATGATCGTATTGAATGGCACAGCAGGCTCAAAGAGCCAAATGGCCTACTCCTGTTCCTATTTACTAAGTTTTTATGTATCAGTGTTGGAAGTGATGGGGGTAGAAGCTTTGGCTGGTGAGACGGTTAAGCGGATTAGACAAGGAGTAGCCAGAATGCTCTGTTGTCTGTCGTCGTGGTGTGAAGTCATCACTAATATCTGAGTCTGTGAAGGCAGCTGGCAGCCATCTTGGTGTTTGCATCAGTCACTGCAGTCTCCTAAACCCCCATAAGCTGATTTCTTATCATTTTATTATTCTTAGAACTCTTTCCAATCTTTCAGCAAGACTCCTGGCCCTGAGCATCAGCCTCATGGTTTTTCTCTGTATCATGCCAGTGCATGACCCTCTCCCAGTTTCTTGGTAACCAGGAGTGAACATAATATTCACGGATCTGATGAAGAGTCATACGGGACTCAGAGAATTGTTATGGAACAGGAGGCCATTTGGCCCACTGCTGTTCAAGTGAACATATTACTGTGTGCCCATCTCCTGCCTTTTCCCCATTATCCTGGCAGACCATTTGATTTGATTTTGTTTTATTCTACAGAAGCGTAGTGTTTCCACACAAGGTGCCATCTCAGGTACAAGTATCCAGCTACAGAATCTTAAGGTTAAGGTGGAAAGAAAGACAAAGGTAAAAGTTAAACATTGCAGTAATTACAGTATAATGTAAAACATACAAAATAAGGTTAAAATTTACATATTGCAGACCTTCTTAATTTTAAATTAAGCTGCAATTTCTCTCCAAATAATCAGCCAGTGCCCTCTTGAATACCTTCAGGCAGCCCATTCCCAGACCCCAACAACTCCATGCGTGAAAATAACAAGGTGTAGAGCTGGACAAACACAGCAGGCCAAGCAGCATCATAGGAGCAGGAAGGCTGACGTTCCGGGCATGTTCCCTGAAGGGGTTCATCCAGCTCTACAGCTTGTTATCTCAGATTTTCCAGCATCTGCAGTTCCTACTATCTCCATGCGTGAAATGTTTCCTTTTCTCACATCACCCTTGTTTCAGTTGCAGTTCACTTTCAAACTAGGTCCCCTTGCTCTTGTTCCTTTGACGAGTAGCAGGAGGTTCCACAGCAAGCCGGTGCTGTTTGACCGTAACCCTTCGGCACACTTGTGGTGTGGACGGCATATCTTCGCCAAAAATTGTTGGGGGTCAAGGGGCGAGGCGTTCACGGCGATTGCATTAAAGTGGCCATTACATTTCTAGTGAGGATTTTGACTGAACACAAATGGGTGTTGATTGTTTTGGTTGATATTTGCCGAAGCTCGCTGGCTCTCCCGCAATTCTATAAGGCTGTCTCTTTCTCTCTCTCTCTCTCCCCAGGGGATAGTATGTGAAAGTGGACTGGCCCCCTGAACGGCCTCTGCTGTGGAGGGCAGTACAGTCCGCTGGTAAACTCGGAAGAGGGAGTGTTAGATCTAGGGCGTTCCTTCCGTTAGTTTAGGAGAAGTATGAGAACTTTTCGGATTGGGAGCTGAGCTGACTCTCAGCAACAGTGTCCTCGCCCCTGATGGAAGGAGAGAGTGGCTCTCCGGCCGGGGAGAACCCTGCCAGGGTCAGCTACAGTGCCGAGACAACCAATACCCGCTTCCACATAACCCGGCGAAGGTCGTACCTGGTTGTCGCCATCCTGTTCCTCATTAACCTCTTGAACTATATGGATCGCTCCATCGTTGCAGGTGAGAGCTCGCCCTTTGCCTACACAACCCCGCGCCGAACGCTTAACCCCCTCCCCCAAATCTTTATGCTCCTCTCCCCCAAACCCTTATCCTCCTCTCTCCCAAACCCTTAACCCCCTCTCCCCCAAACCGCAACCCCCCTCTCCCCCAAACATTTATCCCCCTCTCCCCCAAACATTTATCCCCCTCTCCCCCAAACCCTTATCCGCGTATCGCCCAAACCTCAACACCCCCAACCCAAAAATTTATCCCCTCTCCCCCAAACATTTATCTCCCTCTCCCCCAAACCTCTATCCCCGTCTCCCCCGTCCCTCCACCCTCCCTCACCCCCCCTCCCCCTGTCCCTCAACCCCCCTCCCCCTGTCCCTCAACCCCCCTCATCCCTCCTGTCCCTCAACCCTCCTCTCCCCCCCACCATCCCTCTTCCCTCAACCCCCTCTTCCCCTATCCTTCCCCATCTGTTCCCAATTTCCCCACCCAGTCACCTCTCCAGAGGTTTGGCCCATATGTCTCCAAGAACCAAAACCCATCTCCTAGTCCTTGCTACAAGGGAGTACCCAGGTGAGAAGCTCGTGAAGCAATTGAGAGCTTCTTTTTGTTTCTTCTTTCAGATCTTTTGTGCTTTTGTTTTTATTCTGGTATAGGATGTGGGCATCGCAGGCCCTGTCTGTTTCCGTGCTCAATGACTCTATATGCCTGACCAGTAGGCAGCACTGTGCCAAAGCACCAGTACAGTTCCTGTGGTCAAGGCACAGCCACGGAAATACCATGTTACTGCCCCAGTGATAAGGAAGGAGTATTACAGTGGAGTGTGCCCTTGGAGTGAGGCTAGAATGTGTAGGCAATGCTGTTCCCACATTGGAGACAGTAAGAACTGTAGATGCTGGAGTCAGAGATAACACAGTGCAGAGCTGTCAACTTTCCTGCTCCTCTCATGCTGCCTGGCCTGCTTTGTTCCTCCAGCTCCACACTGTGTTATCTCTGTTCCCACATTGTTGTTGCTGCTACTGCTGTTCTGAGAGTGGGTGAAATGTACTTTGAAATGTTCAGTAGAGTTAACCAGAGGAGCTGGTATTAAGCAACTTTTTATTAACAAGGACTTAATGCAGCTATATTGTTTCTGAATGATTCAGATTATCAGCTGCCTGGATTTTGAAGGTGATATTATTTAAAAATGAAGTTTTACGGCTTGATTACAGGGGAAGAGGTTCTTCTGAAACCATTTAGCAGATTTCATTGGGGGTACAGAATGTCAAATGCTGTATTAATTCCACTTCAGGTGGAAATGGTGAATTGTCATGTTATTTCTATCATTGCTTTGAGTGTCTGAGAAATTTTTACAGACCACTGTTTTCATGAAGGTTGTGGTTTTGCTGAGGTCCTACCCAGTGTTGTCTGTCAGCACACCCATTAATCACATGGCAGCGTGGTGGTGACTGGGCTGCCAGATTGGAATGGCAGATCCCAGCAATGGTGAGGAGAGTGTGTGAACTGGCAGTGTTAGTCCATAGTGTCCATCCCTTTGTTAGATGCTGATGGAAACGCGTGGAACCACTGAACTATCAGAAAGAAAAGACTTCCATTTATGTGGCACCTTTTCCAAGCTCATGATCTGAAAGCATTGTTGAAGTATAATCACAATCAGAGAATCACAGAATGGTTAAACTTCAGAAGGAGGCCATTCAACCCAAGGTAGCTATGGCAGTTCTCAGAGAGCAATTCGTTAAGACCCGCTCTCTTGCCTTTTCCTCCTAGCCCTGAAATTAGTTTGCTTTTCAGATAATTGTTCGGTTCCCTTTTAAAATTTGCAATGGACTGAGCTTCCAATGCACTCTCAAGCTGTGCATTCCAGATCAGCCTAACCCCTCACTGGATGAAAAATGTTTCCCCTTGTATACTTTTGGCTGTTTTGCCAATCACTGTGAATTGGTGTTGTCGGCTTGCCAACATTCCTGCCAACATGAACAGTCGCACTTCCATTCACCTGGTCTCAATCAATCAGGATTTTGAGTGCCTCTATCAAATCTCTTGACTTTCACCCCTGTAAGGAGGGTCCCAACCTTCCCAATCTATCTCAGTCACTGCAGTTCCTCATCCCTTAGACTCAGTGTCGTGAATCTTTTCTGCACCCTTTCTGATGGCTTCACGTCCTTTTCTTAAGTGTGGTGCCTGGTAGGGGATGCAGTAATGCAGGTGAGGCTGAACCAGTTGTTTTCATAGATTCAAATAGCACAGAAAAGGCCTTTTGGTCCATCGAGTCTCTACTGATGTTAATACCACCAAAGGTGCACTAATCCCAATTTCCTGCACTTGTCCCATATCCTTGAATGTTATGACATTTGAAATGCTCATCTAAATTTTTTAAAAAAAAGTTACAAGGTTTCCGGCCTCCACTACATTCCCAAGAAAACTATCCAAGCCTATCTAGTCTCTCCGTATAGCTCAATCATAACTTCCTCGCTCTTATACTCTTTGCCCTTTTCTTTAAAGCCAAGATTCTGCGAACTTGATTAACTGCTTTTTCAGTCTGCTCTGTTATCTTCAGTGGCATGTAAACGCACACACATCTCCCCTCCATGTCCTTCTGTTCCTGTATGTCAGAAGGAATGTGTGTAATGTAGGAAACATTGCAGCCAATCAATGTACACCCAGATCCTGTAAACAGCAATAAGATCAACGAGCAGTGATGTTGGTAAAGAGATACAAATCAGCCAGGGAGAAATTCTCTGCTGTTCTTTGGACAGTGGGATTCATCAGGAAGGGTACATGGGCTTCAGTTTGATGTTTAATCAGAAAAGGGCTTCTTCATCTGGTTTAAGCAGTTCAGTGCTGCACTGCATTCTGTGCCCATGTTTCTACAGTGGGGCTTGAACGCATGAACTTCTGAAACATGCTCTCACTAAATTGTGGTTCAACTGCCCTCTTGACATGGAAAGAGTATTTGGAAATGGGTATCTGCGGCACACCTCTGACTTCTTGGATTTGTTACCTTCTGCTTGGCAAGACCAAGACCAGACTCCAATACTGGTGGGACCCAATGCTGTTTTAGGATTATGGCAGGATACTGGTCACTATGAGAAAGAGAAATGACAAACAAAATCCTCAAATAGCACCATCCAAATCCACGACTACTTCTATCTAGAAGGACAAGGGCAGCAGATGTGTGGGAGCATCACCCCCAAGTCACTTACCATCCTGACTTCGAAATATATATCCCCAACTCTTCAGTGTCACAGGGTTAAATTCCTGGAATTCTCTCCCTAAGGGCACTATGGGTCTACGCACAGCATTTCTGGCTGTCCTAGTGCATGAATTGCAAAAGGTTTGTATGCAGGTACAGCAAGTAATTAGGAAAGCTGATGGAATGTTATTATTTATTGCAAGAGAAATTGAATGTAAAAATAAGGCGAGGGCTCTTACAGTGACACTTATGGTAGCGTCTCTACCTCTGAGCCAGAAGACCTGGGTTCAAAGCCCACCTGCTTCAGAGATGTGTCATAACATTGTTATGCTACATGAAGGATATTATTAAGCTAGAGAGGGTTCGGAAGAGACTTACCAGGATGGTGCAAGGAATGGAGGGTGTCTTTTCCCTAGGGTGGGGAATTTCAAGACTAGGGGACATGTTTTTAAGGTGAGAGGAGAAAGATTTTAAAAAAGACATGTTTTTTTTTACAGAGAGTAGTTTGTGTGTAGAATGAACTTCCAGAAGAAGTGGTGGATGCGAGTACAGTTACAATGTTTAAAAGACATTTGAATAAGTACATCAATAGGAAAGGTATGGAGAGATATGGGCCAGGAGCAGGCAGGTGGGACTAGTTTAGTTTGGGATTATGGTCAGCATGGACTAGTTGGACCAAAGGGTCTGTTTCGGTGTGGTAAAATTCTTTAACTCTATAACTCGTTGGTTAAAAATGTTTACAAAAGTAGGGAGATCAGGCTTCAGTTATACAGGATGTCAGTGTGACCACTGCTGGAGTGTTGTGTCTCCTTATTAAGGAAGAATGTGAATGCATCAGAAACAATTCAGGAAAGGTTTACTTGTGTAATACGGGGAATGGATGGTTGTCTTATGAGGAGATGTTGGACAGGTTAGGCTTGTATCCACTGGAGTTTAGAAGAGTAAGAGGTGGCTTGATTGAAACAGATGCAATCCCGAGGGGTCTTGACAGGGTGAATGTGGAGGGAATTTTTCCTCTTGTTGGAGAGCCTAGAACTCGGGGTCACTGTTTAAAAAGATTATCCATTTAAGACAGGGAGACATTTTTCCTCAATGGGTCATGAGTCTTCGAAATTCTTCCTCAACAGGCAGCGGAAGTAGAGATTGTGAATATTTGAAATATAGAGGTGGGTAGATTTTTGGTAAGGATATCAGGGGTAGGTGGGAATGTGGAGTAATCAAACGAGCCATGGCCTTATTGAAGGGAGCAGCAGGCTCAAGAGGCTGAATGGCCTACTCCGGCTTCTCCAAACTGCTTCTGACATACTTTTATACTTTTTAAAATTTATACACAGTAATGTCTGTCACCTACAGCTGCAATTAAATGTCCCTTATTTTACATTGCATCCTCCTTACAACAAATGCTTGGGCGATGACCTGGACACAATGGATTAAATAGCCCCATTTTGGATTCTATTTACTTTTTCGATTTGAGAAGCTTCCTGTACATACGGCTGGAGTAAGCTGTTTTGTGCCAGGTTCACAGGGAAAAGCACATTTGAGTCCTGTGACACTCTATAGCATTGGGACAGAGATTACAGAAGTCATCTCTTCCTGCTGTCTCACTTTAGATGTTACAAGCTCTTTGATGGAAACGTCAGATTGTTTTATTACTCGGTCTACAGCAAAATGTCCAGTGGACACTCTCACCATTTCGAAATAAAAGATTAATTTCATTATTTACCTCAGAATCCATCTGTTAGTTAGTTAGTTCATCTAATTATTTGTTAATTAATTTGTGTGTTCATTATTTGGAACTTTACAGAAGGTTTTCAACAAA